TGTTGAGGCAAGTTGTAGATAAACTCTGCAGGACACCGGCCCTCCAGGACCGAGTTTGGGCACCCCTGGGTTAGCATATTGCACTTTCCTGTCCATTTCACACTTTTAACTGAGATAAAAAGTAAAACAATAATTAGAAAAATATATATATATATATATATACATTATAATGTAAATTACATTACACATTTAAATCCTATAACTGTTAACAGATTAACTTTAGCAGTCCTAAAATGCTAAAACTACATAACGAAAAACTAAAACTAATCTAAAACATAAAGGTTAAAGTAGAAAATAAAACAAATTAAAACGACAAATTTACAATAAAAAAAAAACAATAATAAATGTCAAATATAAACAGAAAGCCTAATAAAATAAACACAATAAACCTGTTGTGAACTTTTGTTTGGGCCACTGACCTTGAGGAGGATTTGTACAACCTGGCAACAACTCTGAGGAGGATTCACACGATCTGGCATCCCTCGTGCCAGTATTGTTGTCATTCTGTTCGCCCTATATTTCCATCCATAGCACAGCCGCATGTTGCGTCACCACCAGCTGTGTGGATTCATGGAATAAAGATCCACTTCTGTTACATGAAACCACATGCTGTTTACTGTACTAGACGTGCAGAATATATAGATATCAGAGCCGTTCTCATCGACAAACAAGCGCGTGGATAACACTGCGTTTCTGTATCTTATCGACTCTTGAATAAGGATTTAGACGGACGCGAATCATCCTCTGCGGGCTGTTTTGTCGGTCAAGGGAGCTAAAATGTCGATTGAAAAACAAAGTGTGTCCGAGGAAAACCTTCAGGGTATGTCAAAACAGCTCAAGTTAATGTTCTTTTATGCATGATTCTACTCAAAACCACATTCATAATAGCAAAATGTATTTTTTTTGTATACGTCCGTAATTAGACGATGATCGTTCATGCCATGCATCAAATTCGTTTCACATAAAAATGAAATGTGGCTTGTTAATATCTAACGTCATAATATGTGGTAAGAAGAAGCAGGTGTGTGCAAAAAAACACAGTAATGTCGCATGTGATCTGCAATAATAAACACGGAAGCTACAAGACGTGCGATTTGTGAACGAATCATTCGTTAGAGCCTGATCTCTTGAATGATTCATTCAGGAATCGAACTGAACCGGTCTCGATTCAGCAACTCGACGACGAACTGAACAGAGAACCGCCTCTTTAACACTTTTTTTTTTTTTACCATGTCTGAATCGCAATAAGACGAATTAACAACCGAATCCGGTATTTTCCGGATGTGTCCGATTCATAACCCGAGAAGATATAATGATTTGATTGGACAGTATTTTGCCAACCAGCAAAAATTTCAACATTTCGAAAACATACGACTTGTGGCGGTTTACTTAACACGACTTTTTTTTTTGTAAATGGAAATAACCTTATTAATATAACGTACACACAAAATAAATACATTTATAGTCACCACGGAATGGCGCAAAGAATCACTAAACCAGTGTAACCGGTTCTTTGAAACGAACCGTCTGAAAGAACCGATTCACAGAAAGGAGTCTTCAGAGAGGTGGGGTTTACACAGCCTGATTTCATTGGATGTTGAGTGAAAAATGATTTGACATCATGAGCTATTTATAGCCAGAGCTGTATTTATTTTCCTCTGACTGGCTTGGGTCTCAAGTGCTGGCATGTTCTCTGTTTATCTGAATATTCTGGTCGCTGTGTCATGATCACTGATTCATGCCCAGCCCAGTTTTCAATGTCATGTCCATAAAATATTCAAAACAAGTTATTACATGTGATGCTTGCAATACATTGATTCTTAAGAAAGCCAACAATGGGTGAGGAGTGCACAAGATTAAGTGTACTAAACAGAAACATTTGCAAGCAGTGTTTTGCATACTTAAATATCTAAATACAAATAATGCTGCTGCCATGGCATTGTCAGAATTATGACATTGGGCTTTAAAAAAAAAAAAATATATATATATATTGAACATTTATATTATAAAGAACTTCTAAAAGAGGCTTAAAAACTACAGTAATTGTAGTTAAAGCTTCATGCAACACTAAAGACGTTATGTGGTTTTGCTGCAGGTTCCTGGGTGGAGCTGAATTTTAATAATGGAGGCGGCAGCACTCCTAAAGGAGGCTCTGAGGAACAGTCTGCCAGCACCGCCCCAAGCGGAGACCTGGAGAAGATGCTGCTGGATGCTCAGCACGAGTCGGGCAGGAGCAGCTCAAGAGGAAGCCTGCCATGTGACAGGTCAGTACTTCAGCAGACTTTAATTTAGTGCATGAACTGCACTGAGATGCACACAAGACTTGAATGTGATAGATAAATAATAAATCTTATAATAATTTTCTCACCAGTCCTCCAAGATCCCAGACTCCTTTGCACTTGCGCAGGGGCTCCGAGGTCCACAGCTCTGGAGAAAAGAACAGCTCACAGGTAGACATTAGCAGCACACATAACCTTGTCATGACTTCATTAAATTGCACTAAAGCAGGTGTACTACTGATTTCATGTAACTAGATCAATTCTTTATAAAGTACGATTCAAGATTCCCATGGTCAAGAAATGTCCATTATGTCCATTTGAATATATTCAAATGTCCATATGCATATTTTATATTCATCATCAGGGAATATAAAATAGTGGTTTTCAGCCCTGAAAAAAATTATGTTAATGAATATTAAAAGGTAAAATTGATATTTAATAATAAAGTAAAATAATAATACAATTATTAAATAGGATTAAATATGCATTTTTTTTTGTCTCTAAAATATTTCAAATCCATTTTTATTATTAATTGATTTTTAATTTAAGTGTCTTTAACTACTTAGTACTGACATTTAAATGATTCAATGTTTCCATGGTCAAGCAAAATGTAGAATTATAAGGACATTTAAAATAGTGGTTTCCTGGCCTGAAATAAAAATTAAAACGGTCATGAAATATTCTATTGGAAATATGGATTTTTTTCATGGTTCTAAAATTTTGGACCCACTTTTATTTACCTATTTATTTGTTTACTATTAAGAGTTTTTAACATCCTAGTATTAACATGTAAATGATTCATTTGATACAATGCACTTACCGTGTACATGCATGTTTTTACATTTTCCTTACCTTAAAAAAAAACTGCATGTAATTATGTAATTAATATTACACTGTTGACCCACCCTTAAACCTAACATACCACAAAACCTGTCCCTACCCTTAATCATAACCTTATCCCACCTGTATTTTGCAATACAGCATGAACACAATAAGTGCACTGCTCTCAACAATTCAGAAGTACATTGTATTTAAAAACACCAAAAATGAGGTGGGACCGCAATTTCTATATATATATTTTTTTTAATAGTCATGGATATTTATTGGTCAAAAGGTGTGGGATCACTTAAGAGCAATGTAATTATCTAACTTTATAAGATGGCCAATAAAATAAACATCTAGAAACATGAAAGTCATCTGTTAGTTAGTCTAATTTTGTTGTGGTCTGGTTTAAGTCAGAGGAAGACTATTTGGAGAGGAGAAAAGAGGTGGAGATCCTGATGAAGAAAAATGCAGACTGGATCTGGGACTGGTCGAGTCGACCGGAAAACCTGCCGCCCAAGTACCTAAACCTTGAGAAAACATGCTGTTTAATACTCTTAATAAACCAACTTGGCATGAAAAGCATCTTAACATAGTACTGAGTAAGATCAAGCAGATGATACAGTATATGATGTGTTTGTAGGGAGTTTCTGCTGAGACACCCGAAGCGTTCCAGCACCCTCAGCATGAGGAACACCGGTGTGATGAAGAAGGGAGGAATCTTCTCAGCAGAATTCCTCAAGGTTTTCCTGCCCTCTCTTGTCCTTTCGCACATCCTTGCTGTGGGTCTCGGGTGAGTCAATTAAACAAACAAACCGGTAACTTGTGTAATAATTCTTTTATTAGTTTTTTAAAATTTGTTTTAATATGTCTACATTATAAAGTTTTAATTTTTAGTTTTAGTACTTAAACCTTAAATGAAAATAGAAATGGTAACTAGCTGAAATAAAATACTTTTTATATTTTATTTCAATTAATGGCAATATTTATGACTAAAATTAACTAAATTAAACTAAAAATGACTAAAATGATATACAAGTTAAATAAAATAGCTATATAAAAAAGACAAAACAATACAAATGACAAAAGTACATAAAATTACTAAAATAATCTAAAATGAAATAAATTGGAAATATAAAAATACAAAATTCTAAATATTAATATACTACTAAATATACTATATAGACGTAAAATAACTACATGGTCAGATCATATTAATTGTGCCTGTCAGACAAAAAAAGCCAAGCCATATCTAGGGAATAGAATATTTTATGTGGGTGGTTTCTATTGACTTGGGCCAATAAACAACCACCCAAAACACCGCAGGCACACCCTAGCAACCACATAGCAATAAACTAACAGCCACCCACAACTTCACATTTTTATCAGAAATTCAAAAATCAAAGATTGTTGTGTAATTGTTTGATCTTAAGCATTATATTTATCAATATTGATTTTAAAATCCTAGATATGGATCCTTTTATAGTGACAAATCCAGGGTTATTTTTGGGTCAGCAGTGGATGCGGTCTGCGTGCTGGAATGCATGCTAGCGCTCCACAGGGGTTAGCCTGACTTAGCAGTTTTCCGCTGATGGCTCGCAGCTCTGCTGACACAAAAACAAGTCCACTGATTTACGCAGCAGAGAATGGAAAAAACCAACCTGGAGGAGAAAGTTGAAAGCTGAAAGTGCATCAAATGCATGTTATGTTATAGTACAGATCCTAAAATGACCACTAATGCCACAATTTTGTCTTTTCAGGGTGTACATCGGAAGGCGCATTACTACTTCTGGCACCTTTTGAGGGAGCAGGAAAAGCCAAGAAACAAGACAAATCTCATATACGCACATCCACCATCTCAGCTGCTTTGTCGTGAATCAGTGCTTGTGTAGATGCAGATAGGACGAGGTCACGTGACATTTCCTCTCGCTGCCTGTGGGCCGCTCTGCCTCGCTTCCCCCTTGTGTATTCCACTGGCCTTTCCCATAGTTCCTCTCCCATAATGCCAGTCCATTCCAGGGCTATCAGCACAGGGAAGGCCATGCTACTTATGGGCACATGCCGGATAGAATTAGATGTAATGCATCCTCATAATTTTGTATTTACTCGTACCAAGACTACTGAGAATATTATGAGGATCATAAAATAAGGGATGAGAGAGAGGAAATTAAAGTTATGGATCTCCAGAGATGTGGTACGTGTAACTGCAGACTGTGAATTGGGAAGAGATTTAACTATCTACCCCATATCAAAACAGGGATTGTATGTATATCTTATGGTATATCTCAACATTTGATGATATAACAATATAGGACTTGTTTTACCTTGTCACCATGTCTATGTATCTTGAGGTAGTTTCTGTATTTATGATGTTTCAGACACCACTTTTGCTTTGGGAATCAAGCTGTTGACAGTATTATACAACTAAGCAATGGTCTTTAGTAAATACTAGCCAAAAAGTTGAGTACCATATCAACACTTTTCTGAATGTCAATTGAAATCACTAATAAATGTCCAACATAAGCTGAGAAATTGCTGAATCAAGTTTGCCTCACCTGAACTGCAATCACAGATGTTCTTCGTTTTTCTGAAGGGTCCGGGTTTCAGCCCAGACATTGCCTTAAATAAAACTGTTAATGAATCAGGCAGGAGTATAAGGGAAATGGTGTTAATCTGTGCATGTTTTGTAGTCTTGAAAAATTGTATTCAGTGTATGTGTCAATTTCATAGTGGTTTTGTATCAACAAATAAATGTCTGCCAACTGTAACATCTCTCTTGGATTCGGTCTTCATATTACAGGATACTTACATTTACACTACCATTTACAAGTTTGGGGTCAGTAAGATTTTATTTTATTTTTTTAATATTTTTTGAAAGTAAATTAAAGACTTATGTTACAAAATAGTTATATTTCAAATTTGAACATTCTATTCATTAAAAAATATCCTGAAAAAAATGTATCAGTTTCCACAAAAATATTATGCAGCACAATTGTTTTTAACATTAGCAATTGTTTCTTGAGCAGCCAATTAGCATATTAGCAAAATCAGCATATTAGAATGATTTCTGAAGGATCTTGTGACACTGAAGACTGGAGTAATGATGCCGAAAATTCAGCTTTGAATCACAGGAATTAAATTTGAACATATATTCAAATAGAAAAGTTCTTTTTAGTGCTGTCAAACGATTAATCGCATCCAAAATAAAAGTTTTTGTGTATATAATATATATATATATATATATGCGTGTACTGTGTATATTTATTATGTATATACAAATACACACACACATGTAAATATTTCAGAAAAATATGTTGTTTATATATTAAATATATTTATTAAATTAAATTATGCATTTTGCAGACGCTTTTATCCAAAGCGACTTACAGTGCATTCAGGCTATACATGTTTTATCAGTATGTGTGTTCCCTGGGAATTGAACCCACGACCTTTGCACTGCTAACGCAAATTATAAATATACAAATAATTGTAAATTATATGAATATACATATATACAGTGGTGTGAAAAAGTGTTGGCGGCCAACACTTTTTCACACCACTGTACATGTACATATTTTCAAAATATATACTGTATGTGTGTATATTTATACTAGAGCCCAACCGATGTATCGTTTAGCCGATATTATCGGCCGATATGAGCCTGTTGCCGAGATATCGTATCGGTGAATATGCCGCCGATATGAAAATTTTTTACAAAACAACACAGATTAAATGCTTCTGAATAGTGTAATTAGTTTGCCCGGCAGAGCGCGCTCCATTGTTTGCTACTGGCGACCCAGGTCAGTGTAGTGTAGAGATGCGCCGAGTCCGCTGCTTCAAATTATCCGCCCGCCACCCACCCGCACCAATGTTTGATCGTCACATTACAATGATTCTAATTCTTAGTTTTGCATGATGATATGATGAATGGATGGCTCATTTTTAACAGCAGATTCAGTGATGTTAGAGACTAGAGCTGATCTGCTGCGCATCACGGCACGCGTCCGCGGCACATTGAAGCCTGTGTTACGGCCACCGGAGCTGATCGCGGCCACTCAGTCAATGCTGGTGTTTATACAAGCTGCGCCACGGCCCAGAACTCATGCTTATCACATCGGTCACATCACATCGCGCGGTGCGACAAAATACAATAGAATTCTATTGTATTTTGTCGTGCTGCGCCGCTTGCGTCCGGTATTATATTTTATATATATATATATATATATATATATATAGACTGTGTCTGTGAATATTAAACTGCAAAAAGACGATATAAATACGAATGTTCTGCATGTTCATTTGATTACCAGAATATACAAGTCTATGAAAAAAAATAAATTATTATTTATTAATTTTAGATGTTTACATTTGGAAAAGCTGTGCTTCCTGCATAAACCTGCCCCTGTTGGTTTGGCAGTAGCTTGCTTGCCCTACACAGTTACCATGTTTAATTTCTTAATTCAAGTTATATATATTATGTTCTATTTGTGTTAAGTTATTTATAATAAGTGAATTTTACTGTTAAGTGCACTGATGTCAGACTCATTTTGAATAATAAAGTTTAAATTGTTAAATACCCTGCCTCCACTACATAGGCCTATGTTTGTCACATCATTATAAGTGTTTGATCACCACAAAAAATGTGTTTATGTATATTTATATTCGGTTTATGTAGGCTATATACTGTACAAACTTTTGACTATACTGTACTATAA